CCTGTGCGGGTGGTGATCCCCTGGGGCAGGTTGCCCCGAGAAGCTGTGGCTGCCCCATCCCTGGAGGTGTTCAAGGCCAGGTTGGACGGGGCTTGGAGCAACCTGGGCTGGGGGGAGGTGGCCCTGCCCAGGGCAGGGGGTGGCACTGGGTGGTCTTCAAGGTCCCTTCCGACCCAAACCATTCTGTGATTCTAACTCTGCCAGAGCCCTCTCCATCCCAAAAGCCCGGGAGAAAAAAGCCAGACCCTTTCTCACTTGCAGCGCAGCATCAATAGAGAAAAATCCTCATTTTTTTTCCCCCCTGAGCTCAGGTGCCGGGCACAGCTCACCCCGGGGAGGTCACCGCTTCGAAACGCTTCCGCAGCTGCGAACAGAAAGGGGTCAAGCGAGCTGCCGGAGCGTGGCAGCATCTCCGAGCATCCCCAGGCACAGGCTCCTCGCTGCAGGCTCCTCACCCCTCTCACAGCCCTGTGCCGCAGCCCGGGTAACGCAACCGCTTGTCATGGGGGGGGGACTGGAGCAAACCCACCCGCCCGAGCCACCGGGAGCGCTGCCGGAGCGCCCCCCGGGGCAGAGCAGCGGGAGGGGAGCGGATGGGACGGGTCCGTCTCTTGCAAGCCCAGATCCAGGGAGCGCGTCCACGCGCAGCCCCACAACGCCCCATCACAGGGAGAAAACGGCCGAGGGGAAGGCAAAACTCTGCAAACCAACGCCCGAAGATGGAGGTGTAAATAAATGCCGGATTTGGGGGTTTTGCAGAGCCAGAACCCCCAGCCGGGGACAGGTAGCATCCATGCTGCTACCGGCAAAATGCACTTCCAACTCGGAGCGAGCGCTCAGAGCGGCCGCCACGCGCATCCCCCTTTGCTGCTTCACCTCTTTCTGCTGGAAATTCATTTTGGGCAGGAACAGGCTTATAATTAACGCTCACGGCCTCTCCGGTCCTCCCCCCTCAAAGCGCTGCTGATGCGGGTTATCCCCCTCCGCGAGCGGATGCAGCCGCAGCATTTAACGTCTGAGCAGCGGGGCTGCTGACGGAGAGGTGCCACCATTAATTTGGCCACGTCTCGGCGCGGCCCTGCTATCTTTTATTCATAGACATTGGCTTATTGTATTACTTTTTGATAAAAAGCCACATTCCCACGTTTCAAACACGTCCGCGCGCAGCCAGAGGAGGACCTGAAGCTGTGTTATTTATTTATTTCGCCACCAGGCTCTGGGAAACTCCATCACCTTGATGGCAAAAAGACCCTCCTCCTCATAGGAAACATATTCTTTATGAGGCTGATCCAACCCCCGGAGGGTGACGGGAGGTGGTTGGGTTTTTTTTGCCGTATGAATAATGAGTTTCATAACGGAACAAAAGCCTGATCTCCCGACTTCGCTCCGCCGCGGGGAAGACGGCGGAATTTTTACCAGCCGTGAAGTTTCGCCGGGGATGCTGACAGCGCGCCGAGGGATTTTGCTGGTGGCAGGGCAGGGGTGCCCCCGCTGCCACCGTGCCTTTTGCACTTTCATCCCCTCCTCGGGGTGACGGAGCGGTCCCGGGTGGGGAATAGAGATGCTGTGGTCCCCGGTGGTCCCTGAGGACTCAGCTCCATCACTCAGAGCGGAAAGGCAGCTCCGTCCCCACTGCTCTGGTTCTGCCCCACATCTCTACCCCACTTCTCTACCCCACCTGGGAGGGTATTTGTATTTCGGAGCAGATCAGCGCTCGGGATGGGGTGGGGGGCTCGGTTGGCAGCCCCTCCGCTTGCCGGCCACCTGCAGGCCCGCACAAACCCACGGGTTCACCCCACAGCAAGGGGGACTAAGCTCGAGGCCACACCTCCGCCTCCCCACCAGCAGCCAAAAAACCACTAACTCTGCCCCGTTTTACGCACAAGACGCAGCTGCGAGCGGAGGAGCCCCAAGCCGGCGAGTGCCACACAGCATCGGGAAGATGCAACCGCAAAAACATGTGGCCAGTAGGTCGAGGGAGGTCATTCTCCCCCTCTACTCGGCACTGGTGCGGCCACAACTGGAATACTGTGTCCAGTTTTGGGCTCCCCAGTTCAAGAGGGACAGGGAACTGCTGGAGAGAGTCCAGCGAAGGGCAACCACGATGACTGAGGGATTGGAGCATCTCCCGTATGAGGAGAGGCTGAGAGCGCTGGGACTCTTCAGCCTGGAGAGGAGAAGGCTGAGGGGAGACCTTATTATGGCACACAAGTATCTAAAGGGGGGGTTGGAGGAGGATGGAGCCAGACTCTTCTCGGTGGTCCCCAGTGACAGGACGAGGGGCAACAGAGGAAGTTCCGTCCTACACACGGAGAAACTTCTTTAGGGTTGGGGTGACAGAGCAGTGGCACAGGCTGCCCGGGGAGGTGGGGGAGTCCCTTCTCTGGAGGTTTTCAAGACCCGATGGATGCAGTCCTGAGCGATGTGCTCTGGGCAGTCCTGCTTTACAGCATCACAGAATCTTCAGAGTTGGAAGAGATCTCTAGAGATCATCTCGTCCAACTCCCCTGCTAAACAGACCTCTAGAGATCCCTTCCAACTCTGAAGATTCCGTGATTCCATGAAACTTGCAATAGGGTCACACAACCCGACCGCAGCCCCGCACAAAACCTCTGCCAGCGTCTGCAGGTCTCGCCCCGGCGCAGGGAAGGACTGGGAGAAGCCCACGCAGAACCCGACGCAGTCCTTACCGGCAGAGGTGATCCGTCCGGCACGTGTTGCGCAGCTCCAGGCAGTTGGGCTTCTCCTTATCCTCGTAGGAGCAGGAGGGAACGATGGTTTGCCTCCGGCGCTCGGCGCAAGCCTGGTCCTTGCAGGAGCAGAAGAGGAGGCGGTAGGTGTACTCGCTGGGGACGCGGTCGAAGAACTGGCGCAGAGCTTTGTGGCATTTCCTCCGGCTGCAGTGCTCGGTGGCGGAGATCTCCTTGCTGCAGGTGGAGATGTAGCCCGAGCGCAGGCGCTTGCAGTTGTCGTTCAGGTTGCAGGCTTTGGCTGCGTCGAGGCAGTGGTTGCTTTTGGAGTTGGTGGCGGGGTCCATTCCTGCCCGGAGAGCGAGAGGGAGAAGGGATAAACATGGTAGCGAGGGATGGGGAGATGCCCTCAAGCTGGGGAGATGCTACGGGGAAGGGGACCGGCATCGGGGTCACCTCACGGCACAGCCTGTCCCTGCCAGGCAGCGGGGAGGGGGCTGGATGCTGTGTCCCCCCTCCCCATCACTCCGCACGATTGGGAGGTCCACCTCCAGCACAGAAGGGGTTAATGCGCACCGATTGCAGCGGAGTGGGGGGAAGACCTGTCCAAATTATGCCTTTTAGTGCATAATTCATGCCAGGAATTTGCAGTATTTCTTTTTTTCTTGTCAATTATTCAAAGAATAATAATTAATTATTCAGCCTGCTCCAAAGCAGAATACTCTGCAGAGCT